CTTAAAAAGGGTTTGTATAGGGGAAGATTATTCGTCTTTCTCTCTGGAGTGTATACCTCTTTTAATAGAAATGAGGAAATCTAATTTCAGATACATCTGATGCAATAAAAAATGGACATCAATGAGGAAGAAAAATATGAATACAAAGATATATTGGGCAAAACAGCTTTAGAGAAGTTAGGGGGTACTGAAAAAATATATTTAGCAGAGAAAGTCACTTTCACAATTAAGACTGATATCACATGAACAAACGGCATATAAAATACATACTCGACTAAGCCAAACCTACAACATTTGTAGATGGGCTTTTGTCTATTTCCCCTTATTTGTTACTATCTATACTGTGAAAGGTAGAACTCTATTTTCCTTTATTCTCTTTTTTTTCCCTGTTCATTAGCAATCCAAGGTCAGATTCTGATGAATAAAGATTGTTGTGTGAGATATGAGGGGCCCTGATTTACATTTTGTATTAGGGTTCTCTCCAACTTTGCAACTTTGGAGACAAAAATTTCCAACCATGCACATGGATCAAGAGATTATTCATAAGAACATGAAGCTGCAGGCAGGGCTATTCCTGGGTTAATGGCCGCCTGCGGTGATGATGATGACAGTGGCTCTGTCCAGTGTCCTTACCAGCTCACTGACATCACTGCTTGCCAGGAGCTAGGCGGGATGCAAGCCAGGGTGTTCCCACTCAGCTCCTGGCAACTGGTGATGTCAGTAAGCCACACCGAACAGAGCAGCACAGGTTGCTAAGATCTTTAAGCAACCTGGGATCCTAGGGCCACCCATTTGTCGCCTTCCCCCTTGGCAGCTCCCCAATGAGATGCCACCTGGGGCAACCGCCTCAGGCTGCCTCATTATTTGGATGGCCCAGGGGAAAGTCACCTGGGTATAATGTAAATAAAGGGTTAAAATAACTGTAGGTAAAAACCACACATGTGCCACTGAAGTTATAATCTAATACAATATAGAGAAAGAACACTGTCACATAGAAATAAGAACATAAATTATACTAGGAAATGTGTATATACTTATAATGTGTGTATCTGCCCACAAACAGGAAATCTTGGGATGAAAAATCGGAATGACGCCAGCAATACTGCAAATGCCAGATGTCAGAAAATAAGATAAGCCTGGAGCCAAGTGTCACAGCCCTTTTGGTGAATGTCAGATAATAATGTGTGCAAACTCAAAGTGTGCTGGCGGTAAAAATATCTCTACATACTTTAAACACAGGGGAAGGAATATGTGGTAAAAGTGTACAATAGATGTAAGTATTGACCTATGCAGGACAACATGTGAGCAGTGTCTGTATCCAATCTGCCGGCCACAATGGAATGTGTGAATAACAGGGACAATCCTGAAGCACTGCCGCCCTGTAATTCCTCCATCTAACCAGATTTATTTATAGTACGAAACATAATATTTCTAGTGTCATTTCAAACCTCTAAAGAAAACATGAAATATAAAAATAGCATAAGCCCTTGTTGTATTGCAGCCTGAGATTGCTAGTTAGCCTTCAAGCTTGGGGAAGGAATGCAAGACATTGTATTACTGTTCACAAAGCTAGAAGCATGGCTTGTATACTTACAGGAAAGGTCACATATGATTAATGTGTGCATCAAGAAAAGTTAAACTCCAGGAAAAAAGCTGAATACATGTATGAGAACAAAATGATTTCTATCTCTGTCCATCCAGTTCTGAGAATTATGTCCTGCCCGGTAGGGGAGGGGACTTGATCTATCTCTGCTGCAGTTTCACTTTTACTTACATGTTTCTTCCACAACCCAATCCCTACCATCTGACTAGACAGTAAAATGAAAGCAGCACACTGATAAGCTGATCTTTCTGTCACTCTGCTATCTCTTCCTAACAGCATGCTCCTGGTATTGCAGTGCACATGATTGTGCTCCTTCCCACCCCCACTCCCTTCCCCGGGACTTGCACTATTTACATTTAAAAACATACATTTCATGATGTATTAATGATTACAGAGCTGCATTAATTTATGTCTGTTATATCTTCCTGGAGATCAGCTTCAACCTCCTCCCGAAAAAAGAAATGTAATTTCAACTGTAGGGATAAATTGTCAAATGTGTTATAGATACAGCATCTAATAATGGACCAAAAGCATTGGGATTGTAGCCCCTTCATTAATTTGCCACCATAATGTAAATTTGTAAATTAAAATCTATTTTCAAGAGTACCTCTGTAACTCTATATATATAAAAAAGAGGGGCCCAATTTCTTGGGCATTGTAATGAAGTTTATGACAGCATCTTATGTTCCTTCAATCAGATGGCTTGCATCCTTGGTGTACTGTGCTATAATCTTAAGAGGAGAACCATAAATCCTTTTTGCTGAAAAATAAACCACACATAGCTCTGATCTCAGACTTACCAGAAAACATTGTTCACCAGTAAAGTGTATACAGTATATTTGTAATGATGGTTCTGGCACATAGAACGCTTCCACTCCACCAGAAATGTACTCTATACCTAACTTTTGATATAGCAAGGGAAATGGAAAAACATCCCCAAAGAGAGTACATTGCAAATCCCCCTAGTAGTCTGATATCTACCAATGAAGGGTTCACTCACTAGTCCAAATGCTTGGCGCCGCTATCCAAAAGAAAATTCTTCCACTTAGGCCACCTCATTAGAGAATAGTCAGGCTCAGTACCAGCTTCTTCTGTCAACCCTGCTAAAAGTCTCACTCCGGACACTCTTGTCGACCACCTTGACCTTAAGCCGGCACCCCTGTGGCTGACACCCCAATGATTAGGCCAGATGCACCATCACAAATAACCTACTACTTTCTTTCTCTAGGGGTCCTAATATTATGCCTCCATCACTCGTCTTTGTTCCGACCACACCCTGAGCATGCGCAGTCGGTCACCCCAAGTCAACAAGTCAGAAGCTGCTAAATAAGCTTCTTTCTCTCAGCACACAAAAGGGAGCAAAGCAGTCTGCGTATCTGCCAAAAATCTATGTCAAAGTATATTGGGACTTTACAAAGAGCCACCACATATACAAACCAGCAGATCTCCTATTGCCCTAGCAGCCATAACTGTCTTCTGGTTTATAAAATACCCATGCAGAGACACCTAACATAGATCTGTGGACATACTAAAATTCCACAGATCCCCCCATGCCTTTCCACTGGGAGAAGGCTTCCATGTATACAATTGCAAAATCACAAATACATAATAACAATCAATGTATTTGTTACACACATTCATACTTCTTCAATATTGTATATACAGGACACTTACATGTGGACTTACTGAACATACTAAATATATTTTCACATTAAAATAAACTTGGTGTCCTTTTCCAGGAAGGGAAAATGGGAACTGCTACTGCTGACTTGACTTTGAAGGTGCTTACTCCAGGAATTTCATCCTTATACTTTAATCGCTACTTAGCGAGTCAATGACCTGTAACATGCATGTGTATACCAGCCTAGTTTGATATTTAAGGATCTATGTCGATGGGCTTCACTGGGGAAATGCAGCATTATTTTAACATCAGTTTGAGACGCTTGTGAGATAATCTAGAATTCATTGCTGGTGTAGTTGACCTGCATTTAATCTGATTCACCTGTTTTTGCATTCCCATTAGCTTTTATGGAAAAAAAAAAGCAGTGAAGTGAACAAAAGCCTTTTGACACGTGCCCAAATTCAGCTCAGTAACTCACAAGATAGTTAAATTGTCACTAAACTCAGCAGTTAAATCTTAAAAATGCGTTCAAGTACCTTAAGTATTAACAAAAATGTATCTTATTTATGTGCACAGTGTTAAAATACAATTCAAGATGAGATGGTTGGGAGGGCTTTGCTCATGAGAGCTTACAATCTATAAAAAATTATATGTATGCAGGGCACCTATATGCCAAGTCACATGGTCTTAAAGTCCTTATGATTCTGGTGCAGTTATGTGACAATCTATAAATGCAGAAAAAAAGATTGATGGGACTCCCATGGCTTCCAAGTATTGGGCTAGTGTGTCTTGATCCCTCCTGGCTGTGCTGTGCAGTGAGTGTGTGTAATAGTTGTCTTCATTATGTATGATTGAAAAAGTTCTAACTGTAACGTGTGTCTCCATAGTCTTCTTATGTGCAGTCAAAACATAAAATGATATCTACCAGATGAATTTTCTCAAAACATAAAATGATATCTATGAGACAGGTTTTCTCAAAAACATAAAATTATATCTATGAGACAAGTTTTCTCAAAAACATAAAATTATATCTATGAGACAAGTTTTCTCTAAACATGAAGAAATTACTACAAGACAAATGTGAGAAATATGAATGTGCAGCAATATCCTTGATGTCATTCAATCTGTAAGGAGTCTAATCAGAACGGTACCAATTCTGCCTGTTCTGACAGATGTGATATCATTAGGACGTTTTCCCATTATGCTTATTAAGCTTTGCTGAGTGGTATCTATTACCATCATGAGCAATCACACTGTAATTTCTGAGAGCCTCACTGACGGTGAAAATAAGCAGTCTCAGACTTCAAAGGACTCGTTTGGATAAACATCAGCACTGTTCCATTAAAATGCCGTTTTCTTATCTGTAATTTGCAGATTTTTGTATTTGGAGATTAGCATCTTAGTCATTATCAAAGGAATGCATTATACACAGGTAAGCAAGGTAAGCACTGCAGTGTGACCATTTAGGATGGCGTTAAGCTGGTCATACACTGCTCAAATGTCAGCCGGGTCCTTTTTAAATCGACTTTTGTTGAAGGAGGCGGTGCAAAAATTCTCAGCCAAACATTGACAGCCGCCAATCAGCTGCTTACAGCTGATTGGCTTTCTGACAGTGGCATACCCACCACTGTCAGAATACAATAGTCTGGTGGAGAGGATTACCCCATCCATTTAGGGGTATCAAGCTTTTTTTATACACCAAAAAACAAAATTTGTGTATGTCTGGCTTTAGACAGCACCTACTCTAGTTCTTGTATTGAATACAAGGATCCTTACCTGTAGTGGTAGGAACAGGTGTTGTAACTGGAGCAGATGTAGTTGAGGGTAACTTTTTAGGCCTGAATTTGTAATGACCAATAAACCCATCGGCAGTCAAACTTAAGTCAGATAAAAATTGAATTAGGAGTTCATTTTTCTCAGACACAATAGGCCTGAAAGAAGGAAAAAAGAGAAACACAATTAGAAAAAGCAATATACCATAATAGCATGCATTGTATGTAATAACAAGAACTTAATTTCACTGTTTCTGAATCACATTATAGTGTATGTATAGCCAAAAACCTCTCTTTTTAGTTCCGTGTAGCGTATGGAAGGGTTAAAACTGGTCAGAATACCAGAACAGAGGTAGCAGCTCATTGGCTGCTAGCTTCGTTCGGCTGAGAATTTTCCAACCGACTCCTTCAATCAGCTGATCGAGGGATGCCAGGTGGACGGGTGCCAACAACGGCATGCATGGTTCGAATTTCCATGTGTACCCAATTAGTACACACAGAATATTATGTATGTAGATATTATGTACATACTATATATTTAACTGGAATAACATTTTTACTGGTATGCTGTCAACAGCTAGGAACAGACTGTGTAGTTTGATCTCCTGCTATTCAGATCTGTTCACATCACACACTGAATGAGCTGCATAGGTCAGGAATGATCCGCATATTGCTAACTCATAGGAAAATGTATGGATTTTAAATTAGAGGCAGGCACGAAGTCAAAAGCTAGTGCTGACCTTTCTTCTTGGGAAGGCAAGCATGCTCCACAACCATCATGTCATTTTTGTCTATGATAATAAACCATAGCGTTCACTACTAGATATTATGTGCATACTGTATATTTAAGTCTTGCTCTTGGAATACCATTTAAGAACAAGACTTAGCTGACAGTACCCCACCAATTGAACTTGTGTAATAGAAAATAGTATGACTTGTGTGTAAGCATATTGGTAAAGCTCGTACTGAAACCACTGTCCTGTGTCTGTATGAAAGTAACATGCAGCCTGTATTTATTGGGTGTATATCCATACTTCTCTTCCCTGAATCCCATTTGTGAAAGTCATTCCATAAAATAACATTTCCACATGCTCTGGTGAACATGAGCTGCATTCTTTTCAAACACAGATTATTTCCAATGATTTAGGAAGTATTTTGGCTAGGGTAAAATCATCAGATTTAGATCATGAGAGGCCCCTCACAGCACAGAATATTTCCAAATATTTCAGTCATGACTTTGCTTTTCTTACGAATCATTATTTATATACATATATATACATAAGAGCCGTGTCAGAATAGAAAAAAAATAATAATAATTTTTGGCCATAGGAATGCATTGCTAGATTCCTATTGGCTATTTCAATTTGCAATATCCAATAGCAAACTAGCTATTATGATAGTAAGAGATATTTACATTACAAGTTGTTTGGCTGTATGTCCTTCAATGAAAAAAAAATAAAATGAACAAACCCCCCCCCCCCTCCCCCCAAAAAAACTTTTACAAAAAAGCATCAGTATGTTTTATATGCAAACAGAGATTATCGGGATAACTCAAGGTGAAGATGAAAGTGCAGCCAGTGATGTACAACAAACTGACACTTTCTATGTAGAGAAGCCACCTCCAGATGTTTGAATGTCTTGTCAGATTTTATGCAGAGCACTAATAAGCCCAATTTTAAAGCAATCTGTTATCATTCCTCTGGTCACTCTGCCTGCCTCTTCCCACCTTCAGAGCCCTACTATTAGGTTACCACCGTGATGGGTGGCCTCCGATTACTGAGAGTGAAGCTAAAGAAGTGGATATAACACTAGTACCCTAGAATTGAATCAGCAGAAAACCAAACCAAGTATTCACACATCTGGTGATGATCACGCTATACAGAAATTGGTGTTTCTGTAACAGTACCATAGCCCTAGGTTTGCAATAAAATAATGACAATAAAAAACACCTTATTGAAGGTAGAGATTCTTTAAAAAAAAAGGACATAGGCTATAAAATAAACAGATTCAGATATGTAGCTCTTTCAAAACAGTACATCACTATTTCTTTTTTCATACCATTCGGCTGTCACATAATGTCACATTTTTATTAACTGACAGGTTTATTTTGGCCATTAAAAAAAGTCAAAACTTTGAACTTGAAAAAAAAACTACAAGGTATAAAAACATATGGTTATGTTGATACTCTAAGTCAGGACAACAAAATAATTAACTTGACAAATATAGTTTTCATTAACTTAATTATATAATAAAACCTTAACAGCTTGTTGCCAGGTGGGATATGCAGAAATAGTGTAATGCTGTGTATATGTACTGTAAATATTCAAAATATAAAACCCTAACCATGGCATCAAGCAAATTTTAGCTAGGGAGAATCCAAGAGCCAGATTAAGGGTCCCAGTCACAACATATCCAATGCGTTGTGGTACGGTTTAAGCCCGTAATGCACTGGATCACATAGATCAAGCCGGGCAGCAATCTGGGGCGGGAGGGGGCGTGTCAGTGGCATTCATGTCAATGGCACCGCAGATACACACCCCGCCCGCAGTGCGATTGCTCACACCGGGTATGACGTACAGGAATGCTGCATGCACTATTTTTTCCGACCGCACTTTACTGGAACAGAGGGCATTCCTGTACCTCGCTTCCGGGTGTGGGCGATTGCACTGCTGGCGGGGAGCATATCTGCCGTGTCATTTACATGAATGGCACTGACACACCCCCTCCCGCCCCAGAACAGTGCTCGGCTTGATCTATATGATCCAGTGCGTTCTGAGCTCGAACCGCACTGGATCGCACTGGATATGGTGTGACTGGACCATTATAGTACTGAGTTAGTGACAAATATGGAGTTACACTTTACATTTTAATAGCAAATCATCAGAAGCAACAGCTGTATAAATGATATATTTATAGGAGCCTTTCCTTTTAGTATACACATGAGATTATAAGGCATACAAACACTTCTACAGTACATATAAATAAATGTACATACATACATATGTACGAGTACTCACGCAGGTGGACTGTCCCCACAGAACTTCCCAATCCTTTTAGCATCATTTATTTCTCCTCCATTGAATATTGCAACATAATCGTATCGGCAGTAATTATCCCTTTCCACATCAAACTTCTCAAATTTTAATTCTATAACCTTTAATAAAAGAGATGTATTTGATTATAATGGACCATTTCAAAAAATGACAAATCCTACTGTATGTGCAAAAGTGCAACGGTCCGTCCTATCAGTCCCATTCCACTAAATAGGTCCAAAAAGAGCTTTTTGTTAACACAGTGTAGTGCGGCACAGTACTATGTGTGATGTAACAACTAATTGGCAGATACTATGGGATTCTTTACATCTCTTCTAGTTTCTTGCTTTAGATGTATAGATCTATATTCCAGCCAAAGATCTGTAGTCTGTTATATGGAATGTTGAGAAAGGGATTCAATACTTGGTAAAATACTGAGGTGAACCCTCATACTTCCCAACTGTCCCTCATTTGGAGGGACTGACCTTCTTTTGGAGCTAAGGCCCTACGTCTGGATCCTTAAGTGTCCCTCTTTTTGTTCTGATGTTTAGACTGTATGTCTATAAAATAATGTACTATTTAACAAAATAGGAGGAAATTGGAGTGTCCTTAAACAGGAGTTCAGAGACCTAGGTGCTAGGATGAAGGAAAGGACCTCCACGGTAGTTTTCTCAGAGATACTGCCGGTGCCAAGAGCCACTCCGGACAGACAGCGCGAGTTGAGGGAGCTTAACAAGTGGCTCACTAACAAAACATCTAAATTATTGCACTTGTTATTTTGAAAAGCCAGTATAAAAGAAAAAAGTTGTGATAAAAAAAAACACCTGTGGGTTTAACCAATCATTTTTACATATTAATTGTGTGTCCTTTCCTACATACATTGTACTAAAAGGTGTCATTCTTTTACATCTCAGAAGTGCTAAACAAAGTTACCTTTAGAAATAACAGAGGATAACTGATCTATAAAGCACACTACTGTTTTACAATATATGTGGACTACAGCCTTAGGACAAGCCAGTACATATACTAGGTCCAGAAACAAACACTTTCATGTATTGTCCATTTAGGGACAGAAGAATGTAGTAATTCTTAGACATTTAGTTTATACTGCTGCCTACACGTTGTTGCGGTATTGGCAAACGCAAAAAGGGTAAACCAGCCCCTGTCTCCAACTGTCATGCGATCTTTGCTAGCGTCCTGGGTGGTTGGATGCATTTTCTTTGCTGAATTTAAATCTAACATTTTTTTCTAGCCTTTCTATTTTTACTTTTTGTTCTTTTTCAATCAAGGTACTCTATACTGTACATCGCAGATAATTTTTTAAAGAAAATAAAAATCCTAAAAAAATACTACTAATGGATGTATCCACTTGCCGACTTCTTGAGTCTGGACCTAGGGAACAGACAGCTTACCAAATCCACAAGGATCCATCTGTTGTCGGTCTAATAATCAGACCTCTGCTGGGCATCGTTTGGAGGTTGCAAGTTCTCTCCCTGTATCACCCCAGGTGACCTATTGCCTATGCTGGACAGTGTTGGATCTATTATTTGTGACTGCCGTGTGTTTTTCTTCCTGAATTCAAGGTATTGGCTTCTGAATCCTTGCATCTGATGTTCCCCACTTTGAAGAGTGAGGGTTCTACTTATGGGTGTGCCTCCATTCCTTCTTGCAAGAAAGTATCCATTACTAAAAAGGCATGTACTTCCCTGTATGGTTAGCACCCAGGACTCTCTGTTACTCTGCAGCAAAATTCCCCTAAGTGTTATAGTGAAAGTCCAGAGGCTTTCCGTGGAACTTGGTTACTGCAGGATAGATCTTCTTAGGTGACAGAGCTGTGGACGTCTGAGGAAGTCTTCTTACATTCCTTTCTCTTCCTATTTTCTATTAGGTGCATATTAATAGTGTTAGTACTAGGATTTCTGCTCCCAGCAACTCAGGATCATTTAATTCATAATTATATTAATAATCCTATAGGTGTGGGTTGGAAGGACGCCTGCTCATCCTACTGGGCCTGATGTCCTTGTACGCCAATTTATGTTACAGTATATCTTCACCCCTGCCTACCCCTTTTTTGTACGGGTGTTGTTATTCACCCCACTGTCTCCTTTAAAATGTTTTAGGGTTACTATGCTTCTATTTTTCCTAGCTTAAGGTTTTTTTTTACCTCTTTGTATTATTTGCTTAGTGGGTTCTCACATCCATGCATACTTCTTTATTGATCTATTAGGAAACATCCTTTTTATTATGCACCTCCTTAAAATGAAGTGTCTATGGGCTTGTACTTAAGCCTCTGGCTGTAGAACGGTTACTTTCCTTTCTGTACATACCTCTATCCAAGTCTCCTTTCCCTGAACTCAAGGGTTAGGTATGCTAGGCTTAACCCAAATAAGCATTGGTGTCTTCTTTAGCTGTTCTGGTAGTTAGGTATGCAAGGTTTAACCGAAATAAACATTGCTTTCTTCTTTAGCTGTTATGGTAGTTCATTGTTTTGCCTGTTTACTTTATGGTGGGTGATTGATCCTCCTCTGCAATACTAACTAAGGTCCATCATTCTTCAGGTAGCAACTTACCTGTCCTGGTTAGCAGCACTAGGTTGATTCTCCAACTGGGTTGTACCATTTTTCATATTTGCTTGGCCCTGCTTTGTCTATCATTTCCTCAGATGCTGATCCCTTTGGATACTTTTTGTAATAAGATGTCCACATCTGTTGGATCTCTCAGTGGCTGTAGCCCACCCCTCATTTGAACCATTTTTGGACATCCTGAATTTCTCAGAATTACTAGATTCCTGTACCACTCAATGAGCGATAAAGAAAATAAGATTTTTGTACTTGCCGTAAATTCTTTCTTTGAGTCCATGAAGGGACACAGGTCCAGCCCTTGTATGTTACTGGCTTGATGTATTGTTTGCTTACAAAATTGAGGTATGGCAGGTAGAGGCGGTGTTATACAAGGACTGGCTTAAAGAAGAACTCCAGGATGTATTCAAATTAACCCTTGCAGTGGAGCTACCCAGTCGATACAAGCCCTATGTCTGCTCTAAAAACTGCCACCTTGCTGTGTACTTTATTGGATTCAATCAGATTGGTCACTCTGGTATTAAATGACAACTCACAAATGACATAAAATAAAAATATGATATAACAAAGGATGGACTGATAAATAAATGTTCTACTACCCCTACAGATCTGGTGTTGGTGTACTGGCTATGCCAGAACGTAAGACGTTAATTGTGGTTTATATTTTTTTATCTACAATATATTTACTAAATAATGGAAGATGAAATATCATCTATTTAGGAAAATAAGTAAAGAAATATGAAGAGAAAATAATGAATCCATAAAATATATATCCATCTTACCTGATGTTTTGGAGCAACAATGTTCCAGGCACATGTGACGCCAGCTGGGTAGTCTCGGTCAGGCCAGTTTGGGGTTTTAAATGTTCCATTAGGTTTGTCCAGCCTTCCCCCACAGTACTGATCCCCTGTAATCACAGACAACTCACTAAGCTGAATACATATGGGAAGATCTGGTTGTAGACTGCAAAACCTTTGCTGGCTAAAGTTCAATGGAATACAGATAACTGTCCAACTAAAAAAATGAATAATTAGGTAGTATTTCAATTATAATAATAAATAGTGTAGCAGTTTCCCACCTTTATTCCCCATGTATCACCAGTAATACCTGTTATACACCCTTTCAGGCAGTTATGGATATTATCCTTTTATTCTATTAACATTTAAAAAAACTACAGATTAATTACTTCATGGGTATTTTTGGGCTGTGATATAGTATGTCATAGGTAGGCCTCTTTTGTAAATGTTGTTGCAGACAACCTTAGGGTTTGTCCTTTAAAACTATATATTGTAAATACATTGCCAGTACCTCTTTCATTGGGTTCCGCTGCAGAGAACATTGCTATGAAACCATTGCCCGCCGTGTTGGCATCTGACACCATTTGGACCAACATCTTATTGCTGCTGGATACAAGAGCACCAGGTCTAAAAGTACCACAGAATCGTCCGATGCGCTGTCCATTAGAATGGCCACTGTAAACATCCACAAAGTCGTATCGGCAGAGATTGTCACTCTCCAAATCAATCAAACGGAAATTAAGGACGACCACCTTACCCTCTGGCACCTAAAAGAGAGTCAGCATTATTACTGAGTACTAGTAATGTCTACGTCATGGACCTAATGCATTTTGTCCAGGCGCACATTAAAGGCACACTCAAAATATGCAAACCACGAATTCCAAATCCTATTCAATATTTGCCTTTTATTGCCTCTCACAGAGATAGTCAGGAAGATTACACAGCATGGAATCATGGCTCAAATATCTGTTTTCCCATTCATGCATGACAGCTGAAAAGAAGCACTTTGATCAGGCTGCAAAATAACTGAGAATTAGATTTAACGGGATGTTCTGCCTTTATCACAGATGTACTTTAAATTCATTACAGGTGCTACATTTAGATTCACTCGGAAAGGAATTGAGGACACAAATGGCAAAAAAACCCTTGACCTGTGCTCATATTATCCTAAGAAAAAAATATAAGTATTGGCTTTAGCTAGGCCAGTGGTTCGCAACCTGTATAACCTCAGGGCCCACATTTGTCCTTGGTCATTAAGTTGCGACCCAAGTCACACCACACTGGAACGCATGGCAATGCAGTACCGCATGTTCTGGTGCAATCGATCAAACTGTGGGCAGGAGGTGTGTTTAGGGTGCCATTTAAATGAATTGCAACGCAGCGCACCTTCAGCACTTGAGTGGTAGTTTGCGATTAAAACACTGACAGACACATACAGCCAGAGACACAATCTAACACACTCAAGAGACATTCTCACACACACATACATACTCCCCAAAAAATGTAGGGGTTCAGTGTGGGCTGCTGTGCTGTGACCGAGCTCCATCCATATGTGCATTGCTTGTACAGCTCCCTTGCACTCCCTGTAGAGATGCCGGGAGCCAAAAAGTGATGTCACTCCAGTCCAGGCACCTCTAAAGGGCATGCGAGGGAGCTGTAAGCAATGCACATATGGATGGAGCTCTATCACGCCAATACCTCCAGCCACCCCACCTCAAGATGACACTCGGAGCCAGGCAGCATATTTTGAATGGCTGCTCGGCACCAGAACAGACAGCACTGCACTATGGGGGAGGCTGAGGACCCTCTCACCTAGTGCAGTGGAATGCATGCCGCGACACACTTTTGGGTCACGACCCACCAGTTGAGAACCACAGAGCTAGGCTAATATATTTATGTAACTTTTGCTTACCAACATATGCTGCCCTCACAAGTGAACCAACAAATCTGTCATAGTGACTGTGTGGAAAGAGTCCTTTCTTTACAGCGCTCACTATTAGTCCTTCTTGCTGGTACTTGTGGTCCAATGGCTATAACAGTCTGAGAGGAGGCTTGCGGTGGATTGTGTGCTGGTAGGCACACCACAACATATCAAACTATGTAGTTTCTTCTACATTCACATTCTGTAAAGTGCATTAAGTTGTCAATATTTTTTAGTTAGACATTAATGATAATGCTTATTCAGGAAGCGAGAACAGATTTTTTTCCTGGCACTGAACGTATTCATAATGCTTTAGAATGTTTGTTTTCTACCACAAACATTTCCCAGCATTCACCACTGACTTCTAATTACTTGATAATGCTCAAATATAGCTTAAAGTGTATGTTTAGTATTTTCTAGTTTTGGATAAAGTAGGAAAGGTTAGACCACCTGCCAATTTTTATATGTACCTATCTCCCCAAGATTTTAGAGTTGTACCCAGACCAAGAGGAAAAGGGAAATCTTCAAATGGGGACACCTGTTCTGTGGACAAATCTCTAAGAAGGGGGAATTGCCCTAACTTTAGGGCATTTCATTTAGCTTCCTACTGCATCTCTGGGACAGGGAGTGCAGGGAAATTTACCCAATGATACATAGGCAGCTAAAATACACTTACATGGGTTTTACATTTTCCAAACTCTATCAAAAACGTTTTGCTTTCTTATACAGTACCTGTGGCCCTCAGAGTTCAGGCTAAGGAGGGCAACATGTACTGTATGTTGCCCTCAACCTGCGGTCTGAGGGCCACATGTAGTCCCACAGTACCGATCATGGCTTTAAAACACAACAATGAATCCAATTCAAGGATTAAGGGACTTTCTCACACCAACAACTGAAATGGTGTAAATGCTGTGGCAGAGGCATTTATGACCACACCAAGAAGAGGATTTTACAACCAACATTCCTCATGAGAGGCTTGTCTCACAGTACGTATGTGCTGCATTTCAGCATTTTCTCAGGCTGTAGTATAGCTGTGCAGGTTTGTCAATGCAGTATGACAGGACTATTTGTGATGAACAAAGTTCTATTATACATATGTCACAATACAAGATAGTGTATGTCAATAGCAATTATTCTAATGGAAGTGGAGAAAAGATTAGCATGCAGCTTGACAGGCTAACGTATTGGCTTGAAGCAGCTGTACCCAGTATGAAAGTACCTGCTATATTTATCATCAATGAAAATGAACAGACTTACTTCAATTGATTTGCATACTTATGCATATTTAACATTGCAACTCATTTATTTAAGCACACTTGGCTTTAACAAAAGCAATTTTCATTTGTTTTAGACATCACCAGAGGAATGTACATCTTTGTAAAATCACCTCATCAAATCATTTTCTACTACAATGGAATGCAGACGATGTGTGTAAAACATTTTTTGTTTTTGGTACAGACACACATTGGAAGTCTTCAGCTGCCTTGCACAGGTGATGTCTGGGCTTCTAAAGTGTTGCTGAATCTTTAAGGAAAAATGGGCTGCTTTCGGGTAAGCTTGCTCTTAAGTCGGCTATACACTAATCATTGTTTTCTCGTTCAGCCCGCAGGCACAATCTTGGGGTACCTCAGTGGGTGCACAGTAGATCTTTCATATGAAAACAATGCAATAGCGGCATTTTACCCAATGAGTAAAAACCCTGATTCCCCCATTCCCTCCTTTCCCAGCTATTGTGTTCTGACAGTGGTGGATGTGCTGCTGTCAGTATAACCGAACAGTGACTGGAGCTGAATGGCTGCAGTCACTGGCTGATAATTTTCAAACCTGCTCCTTTTGACAGAAGTTGATTGAAAAACTGATTCATTGGCGAATGGAGGGGTGCCAGCAGGGCTACACACTGCTTAAATTTCAGGAGGCACACTTAGGGAAAAATAAGGAACCACATTCTACAGAGGTGCCTTGGCGCAGAGATGTGGCTTCAACGTTTATTTGCGAAAGGTATGCTAGCTTGAAAGTGTGCTTGGGACCCCTTTGCATTGCTGTGTTTAGGGGACTGCCAAGTTGTCTGCCTATTGAAAAGTACAAGTCAATTATATTTCCAATTTCTTTGCTGTAGAAGGGTATAATGAATTCACACCACTGCATTGAAAAATATTTTCAATTTAACACGTTGGAATGCATGTTTTGCATATGCTTGCATTAGGGATGCACCGATACCGTTTTTTTTGGTATCGAGTACCAATATTTAGCTTTTTGTACTTGCCAATATTGAATACCGATACCGGTACTTCAGTGAGCATGGAGCCAGCTTCCTGATTGGCCAGGAAGCCAGCTCCATGCTGTTTGGCTAGCTCATTCCTGATTGGCTGGGAAGCCAGCTTGCCGCCCAATCAGGAAGCTGGGAAGCGGGTCATTACTTAAATTGGAACTAAACTCAAAAAGTAGAGTTTTGCTAGGTGCTAGAAGTGTTTCCTAAAAACACTTGCTAGAAGTTTTTGTTTTTTTTGTGCCTGGAATTCCTCCTGAAAGAATAACAGAGAACTTCCTAGTATGTAAGGGTGCCTAGGTACTCCGGTGTCTACAATCTCATATCTGTAAATCTGCCGTGTGAGATCCAAGGTACTGCTAGCTCTACCTGCTAGTCTCAGAGGATCTGGAGTGAGATTTGGTGATATTACTACTGCACTAATGTGCTGCTTGGTTGAGGCTCTGACACAAGAAAGCAAAGTGTTGCTTCTACCAAGTGGCCACCCTCACGTCACAAACAGTGCAGAACAAGACATGATTAGTCAGTAACAGGCAGAGATGATTGCCCGCAGGGAAAAAGCAGACCATACTGGTGACTAGCCAATTACCCTCTGCCTGACTTTTTTGAATACAGTTTAAAGAGTTCAGTTCAACTTTAACAGAGGTTATACCTTTAATATACACTGCGGGTGGGAAGGTTTGAATTATATATAAATTATCAATAAAGCTTTGATTTATTTATAATGGGGGGTCCCCTATTAATTTGTTAACAAAAACGATTTTTCCCCGAAAAAGGGGATCCCACCACTGTTTCAAAATTTTTTGACCATACACTTTATATTAGTCGTAGAAAATTATTTATTAAATATATATTTAAAATTGCACATATATCAAAAAATCCATATAAAAAAACAATCAACAAACATATAAGTGGCTGCATACGGCTGATAAATAAGAAAAAATTGGTTAGAGGGCACACACTGAAAAACTCCACTTTATGAAGATATAAGAATTGGATTCCCAAAGATTGGAAAGGAGATGTCACATCTCGTCATACACATGTATGGAAAAATGCAAAAAGAATCAGTCAACATGAAAAAATATATAAAATATTTTCAATTATGCAGCGCCAACACAATGTCTCCTGCTAAACCCCTGAGGACGTCGATAAGACGAAACGCGTCGGGGCGGGCCTGCCCCACGCTACACCAGATACAGGATTTTGTAGTTTTGCCAATCGGAACATTTTTCTTTGAATTTTTTTTTTTCGGTCTTTGCCTGTGGATTTCGTTGTTTTAGTCTTATTTGATTCGAATAAAATCCTTTTGAAACTTCTACACTATGAGAGGTCTTTTTCTTGTATGATCCCGAAGATAAACCATTTACCGGTCACAGACCGTCGAGAGTTGCAGCGGGGACACCACAACTTCAGGAGAATTCATTTCTCTAAAAGCTCTTCATTTTTCTACGACTAATATAAAGTGTATGGTCATAAAATTTTGAAACAGTGGTGGGATCCCCTTTTTCGGGGAAAAATCGTTTAGGTTATACCTTTACCAACTCTACTGAAATGTGTTTTTTTAGATATCTGTGTCCCTG